GAGTATCTGTGCAGCAGCCATCTAGGAGAATAGGGGAGTGAATGGACAAGGGAAGTATAACATGAATCCTGAGCAGTATCAGGGATCCAACTGAAGCTGTTGATGTGCATTTAAAGTGTTTTTCCCCAGCTTGTTCTGCTCCACGGGCACAAAACCGGAATAAGTGGAGAGATGAATTTAATCAGTTTTGAGGTTTTGCCAAGTGAATATGTTGAAGTGAAAGCCCTCTTTCCCTTAAGCAAGGGGAGGTTGTGATGATAATTACTGGTCATGGAAAGTAAGCTGGGTGGGGACGGAACAAAAGGTAAGAGTGGTGGTGAACAAGTGACCAGATTAATGGGTTGGGGGTTCTGGTGGGTCAAACGATTGTCAGAGATACCATAAGTGATGGTAGTCAGAAGTGGAATGCATGAAGAGAGATTATGTCACACTTAAAAAACAAACAAACAAACAAACAAACAAACAAACAGTTGTCTGGGTGGCTCAGTCAGTTAAGCATCCAACTTCTGCTCAGGTCATGATCTCAAAATCTTAGGCTTGAGCCCTGAGGACGGCTCTCTGCTCAACGGGATGTCTGCTTGGGAATGTCTGTCTCACCCCCTCTGCCACTCCTTCTTCTGTTCTCTCTCTTAAATAAAATCTTTTTTTTTTTTTAATAGAGTGAGATTATGTCACAGAAGTGATTACTGGTAGTGACAAGGTCTAGGCAGCCAGCTAGGCAGCTGCGATGATAGAACAAGTGTTTTTCTTTCTTCCCCATTCAATCCATCACAACCCCCTACCCCCACAGCCTCACATACACACAGAGCTGGAACAAATGGAGTTTCCTTAAAAAGACATTTTATAAAATACACTGACCCAAAAAGCATTAATCACATGGTTGGATGTCACAGCAATGTCAAATTGCTTTGAAAGTATCTTCCTCTAGAATTTCTGTGCTTACCTTATGAGGACTACTAACAAGAGTTCATCGGCTAGCTCTTGCCCATGGCCCACACTCAGTAGCGGTGGTCTAGTGTGTGACCATAGAAATGAGGGGCTGAGATAAGATGAAGGCCCAAGTTGTTGAAGTTCAGGAAAGTAAAAGGCCAGAGGTTGGAAAGGTCACCTACAGGTATATAAAGTCACCCTGAGTTAAAAGTTTGAGTGATTTTGAGCCAAGGGCTAAGACTGCCAAGAAATAAGGGGTGGAGGTTGCCCCCAGGGGAATAGGTGATAGCCATAGGGGGGTAGTACAAGGTGATAGAGGATATTTAAAGCTGAGATTTGCAGAGGAAAGAGGGAGAATAATCTGGAAGTAGCATGGAGGTGGAAGGAAGACACCTATCTCACCTCCCACCCAGTGTGGGAGAAAAAACAGCCCCTCTTGAGAGGGATGAAGGGGATACAGTGTCCTGAGGGGTAAGTCAGACTTCCACTAGAGCAGGAAGCTGGGGGAGCTGTTGAGAGATGTTAAGGATGCCGGGGATTTTGTTGTTGCACAGTAGAAGAGAGGTTTGATGAGTAGGCAGTGGTGGGGAAAAGGACAGAACGGAGAATGTGCAGAGCTTTTCTGGGATGGGAGTGTGGGTGATGAGGGGTGAGCTGGGCCTCTGGGGCTTCTCAAACATGAGTGAAGGACCTAATGATGTAAGTCCTGGATTCAAGGCATATTGTAAAAGCAAGGATGAGTATTGGGCATAGACAGGAATGGGGGTTTGGGGATCTCTCCTGATCCTCATCCTGGAGGAAAGGAAAGCTGAGAACGCTAGGTTCTCTCTTGATGCCAATGATGGCAATAAAAGAAATTAGGAGGAGTGTGTCTCAAGTCTCCTACCTGAAGGGCCCAGGGAAGATGCCACCAACAGCCTATAGAACACTGTTCTGCTGTTGCAACAGGAGGTTGTTGGTTTTAGAGTCTCAGGTGCAACACTTACTTTAGAAAAGTGTTCTAGGCTAATTATTTTCTAATCTCTGCAGTTGCAAATATCCTTTCTCTCTATATTTCCTGTACTTTGACTGTTCTAACACCATATTTTGGTTTAAGGTTTCAGAGCAGTCCTGACAATGAGTTTGCATTTCTGTTCTCGGTCTCCTTGTTGATTTGGAATATTTCACACCAGAAAGAAAAAATGTTGACTCTATTTCATCCTTTTTTTTTTTTCATTTACAAGGAATCTTTTTTTTTTTTTTTTTTTAAAGGATATCTCATTTTTCACTTCACTGGGGAACCCTGAATGTTGGTATCTACAGGTCTTTTCTCTTATGCTGAGAATTTCTCCAGAAAAGAATCTTCTAATGTTCTGATTGGGAGATACAGGTCTGGCAGTCACCATCCTAGGAGACCAGCAGGAGAAGGATTCCAGGAATCCCCCATTACTAGGTAGACTTTTGTTCAATTCTGCTGTTTTCAGTAGGGCCTCATCTGTACCTGATGTCCCTGAGTGGTTTAGGTTCTTCATTCCTGGGGCTGGACAAAACAAGATGGTGGAGAGCATGGGACATGGGGGTCTATGCTCCCTACTCTTGAATCTGGATGGATCTTTGTAGCTGACTTGGCCAACAACAGAATGCAGCAAAAGTAATGCTCTGTGGCTTGGAATTTATCCTGGACTTTACTTGTCCATCTACTTTCCATCTTTCAAAACTGTGTTGACATCTCTTGTCTGCATGTTGTCATTTCTGTTCTCTGTGTCCTAATAGGGTTTGCTTGGTTTAATTTATGGTCATCCTCTCAGATTGGGTTAATCCTTTTCTGAACATTCACAACATCATATGATTTAATTTTGTGGCAAGAAATAGAAATGAACTCCAGCTAGTTCATACACATACATATATGAAGCATATGAATTTTTCAGATAATTGAAGTGTTGAATAACCAAGATAGAGAAAGGGAAGATGAAAGAAATTTTTTCACTGGATAAATAAAAGGAAAAAAAAAGAAAAAGAAAAATTTCACTGTGTGTTCACAGATTTCTCTTTGTCCAGAGTAATGCTATCTACTCAGGAGACAGATCATGAGTCACAGATGTCATTTCACATTTTCTAGGACTATCTATATTTAAAATAAACAGGTGAAATTAATTTTTATATATCTTATCTGACCCAGTATATCCAAAATATTATCCTTTGGACAATAATAATATAAAAACGTATGAATGAGATATTTTGCATTTTGTTTTTGTGCTAAGTCTTCAAAATCCGATGCACTTACAATACATCTCAACTCAGATTAGCCACATTTTAAGTACTTAAGAGGCACATGTGGCTAGTGGCTACCATATTGGACAGTCAGGTATGGAAAATAATTGTTATTATCCTTGAAAAAACTCAGCTCCAGAATTTTTTTTTGCCTATCTCTCTATGTTTGAAGCATCAGCTTTCAAAAGAAAGAATCTCATTGGTCCATCTTGAGCTTACTCTGGACCAGTCAGCCATGATCATGCACCACCATGAACTATTGAAGACCTGACCACTGGAGGCTGCCATCTTGGGTATCAGAGAAGGTGGAGCTGTATGTCAGACAGCTATCACAAGAAGGAGCAAATATATTCACATCAATATGTTTCCCACAATATGTGAAAAGATTAAGTGTTTTTTATTTTGTATATTTTCTGATGATGTGACATCTTGCTGAACCCAGAGATACTTCCCCTCCCAGGGCTAGCCATTCCTAGAAATGGTGAAGGACTTAACCAGCAAGTGTGTCTTTCACATGCAAACCACCAATTCAGAGTTCTCCAAATCCCAACCACATCTTTGTCAGGCTTTTACACTCCAGCCAAACAACAGGAAAGTAAAGATAGCCCCTATCCCCCAGAGCCCACTGAAATGATCAAACTAGCCAATATCAAGCCCATTCACTCTACTTCACCCTTTCCTTTGAAACCACAGCAAAGATGTTTGCCCACATTTTCCTCTTGTCTCCCTCTGCCTCTTCACCACTCTGGTGTTTCCCTGGGTGCTTCCCCTGTGTGCTGTACTTCCTGTTTCTAGGGGACAATTTCTTCCTCTGTGAGAGTCATTGCCACATCTGTGTGTACTATCATATCTGATTAAAACAAATTCTATGTTAAAATAATGATAATTATAATAATAATAAATTAAAAAACCAAAACCCCAAACTCTGTACATTTTAAAACACATTTCTTCCCATTTGCTCTGTTCTCTCCCTGCCGCAGGATAACCTCTTAGTTTTTCATGTATCTTTCAGAGTCAATATATATAAGCAAATACAAATATTTTCCCTCCTTTTTACCAAAAAGACAATAAAATACACCTACTGCTATCGCTTTTAATCATCTTGTATCTACCAGTGTCACTTCTATTTTTGATGCTCTTGTAGGAGTCTTAAAAAATTCTTACATACTCCTGTGTAGTTTGCATAATTCTTGTATTATTATTACTATTTAATTTGTCACACCTGTAGATTTCTTCACTGCTGTCACATTTTAAATCCCTGGAGATAAAAGCTGGGTCTTACTTATCTTTGACGGTGTATCATTTATTACAGTGCTTCCCACATGAAAGGAAAAGGAAATGAAATTTAAAAAGATGATGAACAGGGACGCCATGGCTCAGTTGGTTAAGCGGCTGCCTTCGGCTCAGGTCATGATCCCAGCGTCCTGGGATCGAGTCCCACATCCGTCCGGCTCCTTGCTCGGCGGGGAGCCTGCTTCTCCCTCTGCCTCTGCCTGCCTCTCTGTCTGCCTGTGCTTGCTCACTCTCTCTCCCTCTGTGTCTGACAAATAAATAAATAAAATCTTTAAAAAAAAAAAAA